CGGTGATGTTAATCAACCACAGTGGAGCCGAACTGAATACCTACCTGGGTCCCGTCAACAGTGTTGGAATCTATATAACAGGTAGATGAGCGTTGCGGAGCAGATATTCACGCACTCGTAAGTTCTGACCTAATTATGTTCGGCATCCTGGGAGAAGCGCCTAGTGACCAAGATATATGCATGTCCTCCAGGCCTACAAGAGCTCGAGCATAGACCGCGAATCGTCGGCAAGGCTCCGTGATAAAGGGGAGTCGATCAGCGGGGGCACTGCCCGCGGTTAGCCTGCCGCTCGCACGATCTCAATCCCAGACAGCCAGTAGCTCGGTTCATTCGGAGTTCACAACATCCAGTCCTCCTGCACTTTGGGGACAGAAGGTCGACCGTCTTTGAATGATGGCGCTGTCGCGCCGATTTCCCTGTAATTTGTGATTTTTGTACTTGTAGTGCAATCCGTGTGCTGCTGTCCTTGGATTCCATGTATATTGCACGCGCGCAAGCGAAAGCAGAGCGGGTAACGCGGAGCTCGTATTGGTGGCAAGGTGGTGGAGCAAAATGAATTGGAAACAACGACCACTGTCCGTGATCGATCCGTGATCGATCCGTTCTGATTCGTCGGCGATGTCCGAGTCAACTTGCCCCTAACTTTTTCGACAGTAATATCAGAAGCGAGGAGCTAACCGGCGCTAGCCATTTGCATAGCGCACTAACCTGAGCTAACGCAATCCAACAGCGCTCACTAATTACGTTCGCAGTCGACCACTTACTATTATCATTCCCCAGGATCTCGGACACCTAACCAAACTAGGAGGGCCGACTGCATCGGCACAGACCTTGCTTGTAAGTTGACAGAAGATGTCCAACCCTACATCTCGTCAACTGCACACTCATTGTCGGATCCAGTGCATTGTGGTGTGCCACTGGTTTGGTGATGGATTTGGAGATAGACTCTTTTGGAAAGATCTGGCCACACACCAAGTGGATCTCTCAGTATTTTCAATCTCTATGTTGTGCTGTCACGGAGTTCAGTATGCGAAAGTATATGGTTGTGATTGGGAGATTTTGATGAGATACACGCTGTTCTTGAAAGTGGCACACAATCCAGTCTTGCTTTGCAGAGGATGATCAGCCGGAGGGCCTGTCCTGGAAAATTCCTCATAAGTGCAAGTCAGAATTATACATACTGTCGGCTACGAAAAAAATCCTTTCTTCCCTCCCCGTAGCAGCTGATTTCAGGTCCCAGGTCCCGCGTGGAATTCTGCAGAACGCAGACACTCAGGCTGGAGGTTAGTAGGGCTAACCGTACTTCCTTCGGACGTCGGGCCGACTCACCGTCCTTCCTATTTGGGAAGCCACGGCCATCACGGCAAGAGTTTCGTCCGATGATGTCCGATGATGTCCGAACCCAATGCGGACACCATTGTCTTCCGCATTCAGCGTTCAATGAGCCTGCCACTACCTCGGTGCGCTATTCTTACCAAGTCCTTGCTTGTACCGTATCTCCCCCAGTCAAGACAATTTAATCAAGTTGAATCTACTCTAGGTATGTAAAGTAAATTTCAATGTATCCCGTAAGACTGCTTTCGTTTCTGTAATCTGCTCTCGGGAATGATTATTGAGGCCACATTGGATCATGATCGCCGCCGCCCTATCCTGAGCCTCGATGTCGAGGGGAAAAATGTGGTTGTCTATCAGAGGACTGGAGAAGGAGGTGCTGGAGTCGGGGTGGTACATAATAGTATTTATCAATATGCGCTGCTCCCGGGTAATTTTGAGCTGCGCGATCGGGGCAGTGGCCGCGGTACTGCGCGCGTTAAGAGCTGGTATTTGATCTGGGGGACATAATTCCCTCCCCATCTAAATGTGCTGCGATAATTCGAAGCAGTAGCGGTGGCGTCGAAGCCCGGGAGCGCGCCGGAGGACGGGGCGGAACCAGTCGCAGCCGAATTTCTTCAATCTTGTTCTCAAAGACAAAAGAGGATGGGTGAAGGTGGTGGTATAGCAGAGAGGATAAATACACGCATTTTTGCCACTGGAACGCGTACAATGGGGCTCGGAGAGGCGGGACGCGCTTGGACGAGGCCATCAATCGGGAAACTGATGGAAAGGTGGCCGTGATGGCCGTGGCTTCCCAATTAGGAACCACGGTCTTCCTTCCGAGCGCCATCAGAACTCCGGATTGCGGCCGGCCGCCGGAACCGTGGCTAAACGCGCAAATTAGCAACGAGCCAGATGCCAGAAATTAAATAGGCCAATTAAAGGGTGGCCAAAGATAGACAAAAAGATAGACAAAAGGAAACAATGTTTCCATGCTCATCTCTGGCATTACCGTGGTTTGAACACGGGACTTTCAGATTACACTGAATCGCTTCAGTCTGCTGCTTTCCCAACTGCATTATGACACTGATATCTACTCTCTGCCTCATGAGGTCCTCCTGAGAAGACAGATTTCAGCAGCAGCAATACAGCCATGGCTGATACCTTTTTTCCCTTCGGCGGCGGGATTCGAATTTTGAACGCACCTGACCAATAGGATTCTTCACAGTAGCCTTTTTGTTTCCTTTTTACCTCCTTTTTTTCTTCCTTTTCAAAGAGGGAACCAAAAATGAGAAGAAAAATGAATGGAAAAAGCCCCTTTTGAAAGATGGGCACCCGCCTCTTCATTTTTGAAAAAGGATCCTTTTCCCGTTCCTTTTTTCCTTTTCCAGACTGCTTCCCCTCCTTGACTTGGTTCTTGTTAGGATACATAGGTCCTACCCTCAGAGCCTCTATGAACTCTCAAGAGGCCATGTATCCCTTGCCCTGTGCAAATATTCTAGCTCATTTATATGTTCCATCAGGTTCCCTTTTTCTCTCCTTTTTGCTGGATCTTGTTGTTTACCCGTTCACAGGAACTCATTTTTCGTTCAGTTTCCTGTCCTTTTTTTTTTTTTTTCGCTTTCGGGCAGTTTTGCACCCAGAAACTTGTCCAAACAGGTCTAAAATCCAAAAAGGACAGAAAAAGGGAAACAAATAGGAGCGAAAAAGGGCTACTGTGAACAGCTCTGATTCCTTTGAAAGGAAATAGGCCCAGAAGTGCGGCACACACCTACATTCATTCGTCAGTGTGCTGTTGTGATGAAGGATGAAAGTGGGAGATGCCTGTTCGACTCGAGCCTGGGCCACTTGTTCTTCCTCGTCTTGTTTTCCCAGCGATTGAAGTTGACCTCGGTGCTCGCTTGAACACATTTTCAGGGGAGTGAAGGCCCACAGGCACAGAACACGGAACTGCGTAGGCACCCGTAATTGTTGAAAGCGAAGGCAGGAGGCCCGGGAGCTCCTTTGACTCGAGGCTGGGCCACTTGCTCTGCATCCACCATTTTTGCTTCTGCTAGTTGGTTGTGTTTGAAGGATTTATTCAAGTTAGATTATTTGGGAGAGACGCCCAGAGATGTGCGGCGTGCAATTGTGCTCCTTAGCACTGAGATCTCAAAGGTTACTGTGGTGATGTTATGCAGGAGAGCTCGACTGAGCTCGACTCGACCATTGCTCCTCATTAATACAATTGTTCTCCATCGCGGTAGTTGAATTCTGAATACACCTAACCAAGTCAATTCTATAGGAAATAAAGCCCAGAGGCGCATGGTGCGCACCGACATTCGTTAATATAGTTCTCGTCTTGAAGGACGAAAATGGGAAGTGCTCGTTCGACGAGCCTGGGGCCATTGCTCCTCTCATCAGCAACATTTTACCATTTTACTTCCTCCTCCGTGGTTGAAATCTGAATGTATCTACATAATTATGTATATTCCATGAACAATAAGGCCCAAAGGCACAGGGTGCGCACCTGCGCTTTGTAGTACATTGCTCTGGTGCCATTCAGTAGGAGGAGCTCGTTCGACTCGAGCCTGGGCCATTAATCAGAATTTTGAACACTGCTTTTGCTTCTGTCAGTCATTTTTCGACGCACCTAACCAATAGGATGGATGCTCATGGCGTGCGCACGCACACCTCTATATCTTCGTTTAAAACACTGAGCAGGAAGGTTCTTTGTCGTCCCCCACTTCATTTTCCAAGCTCCAACACATTTAATTAACCAAGTCAATTCCACAGGAACCAAGGCCCAGAGGTGCGCTGGCGCACCTGCGCTTCACCTACGCTTTGTAAATTGGTCTCCATGAAGTTAAGCAGGACAAGCTCGTTCGACTCCAGCCTGCCATTCAACAAAATCGGACTCCTCTCTGTTTGCTTTCACGTAAGTTGGTTTTTGAACACATCTGTTAACTTTGTGGGAGGCTCATCATGGTGCGCGCATGCACTCCTTAGCTATTTATTCGTTGAAAAGGAGGGCTCGCCTCGAGCCTGGGCCATTACCCCGCCGCCTGTATGCTTTGTCGTCCGCCACTTCATTTTCCCAGTTCCAATGCGCTTAATTAACTAAGTCAATTCCATACGAACCAAGGCCCAGTGTCGCGGCGGTACCTGTGCTCCATGGAATGTTGGTAAGGGTGTTAAGCAGGAGCTCGTTTGACTCAAGTCTGGGCCATTCGTACATTGCCTCATAGTTTTTTCGTCCGTCAGTTGTTTGAACGCACCGAGTCAACTTCGCAGGCGAGCCGGCCATTTAAATTAATGTCGTCCCGCTGCCCACACTGTTTTGTCTCCTCTGACTCCCGAGCCGGTTCACTTCGTCTCATTTTTGAACGCACCTGGGTCCTGAGCGAATTGGCCAGAGCTGTGGAGGAAATATGCCGGAGAATTCCTCCGTGCGATTGCTGGCGACGCAACGGAATAAACAAAACAATCTCTTCTTCTCTCCCTGTCGCAGGTCCCGCATACTATTCTTCAGAACACAGATAACTTCGGTTGGAGTCAGTAGACCCATACTTCCTTCGCCCGCTCCTCGACGGGGTATCCTGAGCCGCGCCGCTGACGAACGAGAGGGGCACAGACGAAATTGAGGGAAGGAGCGAAGAAAAAGGAACCTAAAATAAAGGTAAATTAGAGAGAGAAGGCAAAAGTAATGGCATCACCGTGGCTTGAACACGGGACCTTCAGATGACTTTTTGACCATCCTGCCATGTGTACTTCAGTCTGCTGCTCTCCCAACTGAGCTATGACGCCGATAAGGGGAAATCCCGAGCAGATGTCGGGAGCGTCCAGGGTCGTCTCGGCTTTACGTCAACTCGAATCGTCTCATCCAATCAACTTATAAAGCGATCACTTTATTCCTTCTCTCTGTATCGCAATAGCAATCAGGCAAGTGCCCGCTCCATAAATAATACAAATAATTACTGCATGTGCGTGCATATCCTATCCGCCCCACTGCCCGCCGCAGCACCGTGTCCATGTCCATGCCCCACTCCTCTACTGGTATGTATCTCCTCCGCACATCTCCTCTCCTCTCCTCGACCTAGCACCTTTTACAGCACACTATCCTACCCCACCCACCCACACCCGCCCCTCCCACCGACGCGGCGTCCAGCCCCGCGCCCGCCCGCCGACCGCCTACGTAAATATGCGGTCGTACCGGTTCAGACACGACCAGCCATCGCGGTCTGTAGAAGCGATCAGCATGCTTTCGTACGGGCGGGGCGGCTCGCCGTGTCTTTGTCCTTGTCCTTGTCTTCCCCATGGCGCAGCCAAGGACGGGGAAGACGAGGATACGACGGCGCGGAAGAAGACAGGAAAAAGGCAGGAAACACACCAAAGTTATTCGTGATATCGCACTCGCACTGGCCGCGCCCGTGCGCGGGCGCCTGCGGGCAGTGCTGGAACGGCTCATGGCGGTAGCCGATGTCCTCGAAGAAGTGCTGGGGGCGCGGGTTAGTCGGGGTGTAGAAGGGACGGGGGAGGAGGAACGCGGAGCGAGGAACGCAGAAACCCGAAACGGCGAAATGGCGAAACCAAAATCCGTTCCCCGCACGTCCTCGTCCACCAGAAGGCGGAATCCGTTCCTGGTCCCAACGTTCCTCGTCACCGGAACGCCGACGAAACCAGCACCGAAGTGGAGGAAAGAGAGGAAAGAGAGGAAGTAAAGAAAGCGACGCACGATTTGGTCCTTGCGCGCAAAGAGCGCGGCGCCGATCGAGTGCACGGGCGCATCGCCCCAGCGCTCGTAGTAGAAGCCCTGCGGGGGGTGGTTAGTGGTGTTAGATAGGAGGCAGGGAAGGGGGACGGGTAGGGGGGACGGGGACGGGAACGATGGGAGTAGAGGGGCGGGGACGAGGACGGAGGCCCGGTGCGACGGAACGCAATGTAGAGGGCGGGAGTGGGGCGGCGCCGGGCCGGGAACAGTGGGGGAATGTAAGGGCGGCAAGAGGAAGGACGAGGCGGACGGGGACGGAGGGTGGCAGGAGATGAGGGGGCAGGGGCGAGGCGAGGCGGGGGGAAGGAACAAAGTAGGCGGAAGCAGGCCAAAGCTGCAAAGGGAAGGCCGAGGACGAGGGTAGGACGGGGGGCGGGGCCGTGCCGTGGAAACGCGGCGACGGCGGAGAAGGGCACTGGGACGCGGGGTGGAAGGACCGGAGGAGGGCTGGAGATGATGGGGCAGGGATGACAGAGGGAGTCAAGGACGGGACGGGGAGTGCGAACGGGCATGGATACGGGCAGGGCGGGGGACGGGGACGGGGACGGGGTGCGCAAGGGACGATGGAACAAGGTGGGGTGGAAGGACCGGGGCGAGAAGAACGCGGGAAGAACGAAGGGGCGGGGCGGGCTCGATGGGACGGGACGCGAATGAAGAGGGCGAGGGGCGGGGCCGTGCCGTGGAAACAAGGCGACAGTGGGGGACGAATGGCGTGGAAGGAGCGGCAGGAGGGTGGTGGATAAGAGGGCGTGACGTGGACGGAGCATGGGCGGGGGCGGGTGGGAGAAAGACAAGGCGGGGGAGGGAAGGGAAGGGAAGGTCGATGAGACGACGGGACGGCACGGGGAGGAGCGGCGGACGTGAAGGAGCGGGGGTGGGGACATGTGACGTGCGGAGGAGCGGGGGTGCGGAGGAAGAAACGGCGGGCTGTGACGCCGCGGCCGTACGGGGAAGTGACGGGTCGTGAAACGAAGGAGAGGACGGGGCAGGACGGGAGTGAAGGGGCAGACGCGGACGGGCGGTGGGGGGATGGAGGCAAGGATGGAGTGGAGGGCAGGCGGGGCAGGGACGGGGAACGTTGGGGTGGGAGTGGAGGGAAGGCGGGGCCAGCGTGCGGTAGGAGCGTAAGTGGAGAATCAAGAAGGGTACGCAAGGACACGGGGGGGACAGGCAAAAAAGCAGACGACGACTCACCCCCTTGGCATCGAGGTGGTCGAAGAACTTGGTGTACGCCTCCCCGCGCCACAGGTCGAGGTCCGCGATCTCGAAGTTGGACCAGACTGCGCGGCGTCAGGGCTCCTCATCTTCATCCTCAAGTAAGCGACACGCACAATGGCAGTTATTATAGCTCTCCCCCCCGTCGTCACTCAGAAACCCCATCGCGTTGTCGGGCGCGACGAGCCCCGGATTCGCCTCGACGAACTCACGCACGGCGGCCCACAGCGTGGGGATCGTGCGCTCGTACTCGGGCAGCGCGATGGTGAAGCCGTATTTCTTGCCCTCGTCCTGCATGAAGAGGAAGGGGTCGTAGTCGAGCGTGCAGAAGAAGCGCACGTCGGGGCTGCGTACGGTGAGTGGGGTAAATACAAGGAGAGAATGGGAGGGAGGGAGGGAGGGACGCACTCGAGGCGCCAGTAGTAGCGGTACTTCTGCAGCAGCTCGTGGCGGTAGAAGAAGCCCGAGTTGAAGCGGCACATGTTGCGGTACGGCACGCTGCCTGCCCACCCCGCACCGTCAGCCCACGCTACATCCTCATCCCACACAAAGCAAGCCACGCACCGCCATAAATGACATCCTGCATGTCCTTGCGCGCGGCGGCCGCGCGCGCCTCGTCGATCTCGGGCGGCTGGAACCAGTGTTCGTGCGGGATCAGCCCAAACTCGAGCGTGTTCTGCGTGAGCGCGGACACGGTGCGCTTGAACTCGTCCGAGAAGGGCACCTCGTTGAGGAAGACGTAGGGGTAGCCGAAGCGCGCGTTGAACTTTGCCTCGAGCTGCGACATGCTCTTCACCATCCCGCCGAGGTCGCTGTTGCGCGCTGTAGTCCCACAATATAAGAAAACAAAACAGATAGTAGAATGAAGTAGGAGGCGCACCGAGCATAACGATGGCGGCATTAGCCTTGCGGGTGATTGTGCCGTTTGGCTGGAGGTAGTACTTCTCGGGCACGGGCGTCTTGTACGGCGGCTCGTGCCACACCTTGCCGTCCTGGGGGCCCGGCGGCGCCTGCCCGCCCAGATTGAACTTACTGCTCAGCGCCTCGAACGACGTTGCGTTGCCGTAGCCCTCGTGCGAGAAGCTCAGGATGTAGTGCAGACTGACCTGCGGAAATGTGTGTGCGTGGGCGCTGTGTGGGCAGATATTCGAGGAGAGGGACGCACGATGATAGCGAGTGCGAGGACGACGTAGCGGGTGCGGGTCATCATCTTGGGCAGTCCAGTGCGCTGCGGGGGGCAAAGCGTCGGATTCGCCGGAAAGTTGGTCTATAGACCTCCGTGGACCGCAAACGCCAGACCACAGAGATCTACTACTTAATGCAGCTGTGGGCGAGAACGTCGAATCCGTGGGGAGACAGGTCCATGGAGCGGTCGGCGGTCTATCGGAGTTGATCTTAGACTGGACTACGGTTGCCAACAAGTCCCAGCTTTGATTTGATTTTTGATATTTCTTTGCGCAATCCATCAACTCTCAATCGCCCTGTCTCTCAACATCCCTTCGAAGATCCTAGGGCTCCTTCAGCAAGCCGCGCATGTGCATGGGTTCGGCCCAGGATGGCCGTGGTGCAAGGCGGTCCGACGCGTACGCGGACGTCGGGACGCGTCGCACGTGCCAGACGTGAAGTGACGATGGCGCGTCTTGAATTTCCCTGCAACTGCAAATGCGTCCGCATCCGTCAGCATGTCCTGGGGCACTCTCAACACGGCTGATGCGCCCCTTGACCCGATGTCGCCGCCTTCTTCTTGCGGCGCGAGCACCTTCTGATTCCTCTGGGACATCTATCTTGTGTGCGATGGGCCTGGAGGACTTCCTGTGACCCTATGCGGTCCAAAATTGAGACAGTAGGCAGCTGTACTACATATACAGCCCTTTGAAACACCATTCATCTCACAAACTTTTCGAGACGGCCATGGACGGTATGATCTTCTTTTGCCCTTTCTTTCTGACCGAAGTCCTTAGTTATTCCGCTGCCTCCACGAGGTTATTGGTCCACTCAAAATCCGGCTCGACCCCGCCGAGCAGTCAGAAATCGGGAATGCCAACACGCCTTCGCTCACGTCAAGAACCTGATCAAAACTTATCATTCCTGCGCATGACCCAGGCTGCGAAGAGAGAAGACCCATTCGAAGCAGTTGTTGGGGCTCAGGCCTCTGTGCGTTTCCTCACCTCCCATTCTCTTTTTTACGCTGTTACCCGTCCGTCCCAAGCCATTTGTTCTCCTACTAATTCGAGGGTAGCCCAATATTGTCTTCAAGAATTGATGTTGAGGTGCGGTCAAGGAGTAGATACACCATTCTCACCATGTGTACAGTTGCCAACAAGTCTAAGCTTTGATTTGATTTTCATAACTTTCGATTTTGGTTATCATCTCAAGTGGCCAGTGCTACTAAGCACAGTCTTCATACTTAAGACTCCATATGGTATTGTAAGCAGTAGTGAATATACTAGAGGGGTTAGCAGGATGAAGATGGTGTTTCGATGCGCTCGTGAACACGGTCAAGCACGTATTGGACGAGTCAAAGTATCTCTCTCCATCCCCAATCCATCCCTCTGTGATATATTCGTCCACGACGAAGCCCGCCAGCGCGCCTTCCGCGGTTGCTATCTCGGGGCGCGCGTGTTGAAGGCCCTGTGCATGATGCGGTGCCGTCTGTGCAGCCGAGAATGGGCGCGCGCTCGTGGGCGGCTGCGACCCTGATCCTCCCAGGGCACTGGACAGGCAGGGGAGGCGAGATCCTGGGTCGTGCAGACGCGTGGCTTCGTAGTGTAAAGTCGCGAGATATGAGACGATTCAGCGCACAAGGAACAGCCACCATGGA